ACACTCACTCACACACACACACACACACACACAGAGACACACATGCACACACACACACACACACACACTCACAGACTCTATTAATAGCAGCAGAGTCTGTGCTGAAGCCAGAGACGTAACGAACGCAGGGAAAAACATCAGCAACCGCAGGAATCTGACTCAGACAAAACTAACGAACATTTTGAAACAGCGGCTTGATCAATTGAAGGGAGAGCTGAATCCTGACGGAGTTCAGGATGGAAATTATAAGGAGTTTATACTACTTCCAATTCTAAACGGCGTCATTAATTTCATTCTGTGGTTTCATTAGAGTTTATCTGACTTTCACAGCACAGACAAATCAAACACATTTCTCTAAACATCTTCTTTTGTGTTTCACAGAATAAACTCATTCAGGTTTGAATGAAATGATTTCTGAGTGAACAATCCTTCTGAAGCACAGGAACGCTTCTCAGCTCATTAGCAGTCAGACATGAGTTTAGTGATAACTCGAGATTCTCTGAGTCGGATCATTACAGCTGATTCACTAAAGAATCGCCTCGTATCCGACTCACTGTAGATTCAGTTTGCCTACTTCTCTACTATAAAGTGCTCATCCGACACTGCTATCCCATGAGGCCACGGGAGAGGAGACGTCACAAAACAACTCCAACACGGAGTATTCACACTACAGATGTGTGTTAGACCAGCGGCTCCTGCTAGAGCCACTAAACTCATTAATGTTATGCGAACTGATGAGGTTATGAGTGTGTTCCGAGAATGTGTCTATATTGAACTGTTGGCCAGAGTCGAGTCTGAAATCCATTCATGAATATCTGATCGTTCATGTCGGGGTTATTGCGCAATAATAGCAGCGTCACCGCATCGAGCATCCGGTCACCATGACAACAGCCGCGACCACGCCCTCCACAGACCCTCCTGTCTCCAGCTCACGTGCCCTTCTTTCTTTCGCGCACTTTTCACACAATCCTAAGAAACGCGTCCGTTTCGCGCGCTGTCACATCTGTCAGCAGCGACGCTAATCGACACGCGACACTGACGCGGTAAACGCGTCGCGTCAGCGCTGAAGGCCCGCCGTCCTCGGGTGAACGCGCCTGACGCTTCAAACCCCGTCATTTCAACCAATAACTCACATATATGGCGATTTAATCCTAAAGCCGTGCATATGAATCACAAACTCCCGCCTCACGAACCGCTGCAGCTTCGCGCCATTAATAACGGATAATAACGGACGCTGCGAGCGCTTACCTCATATCTTCTTCTTTTTCTTCGTTTTAAGTGAAGATGGAATAATGTCAGCGCAGTCTTTCGAAGACCCGTGCGGGTAAAGCCCACGCCGCTTAGCGTTTACCGGTGAATATCCCGTGAGGTTCGTTAAATAATGGATGCGCCGCGAGGAGAGAATGCGACAGAGCCCAACGCGCCGCTCCTGCGTCGAGTGCGTAACGTTTTCTCCTGATTTTGTCGCCGTGTTGAGGTCTCGAGCTCAAGTCCATTTCACAGGGATCGCCCCGGTCTCCGGTTCGGCGGCGCTTCGGTTGCCATCTTCCGTCCGCCGCGCACTGACTCACCGCTTCTGCCCGCTGGCGCCCTCCGTCACACCGCAACCACCGGAACACGCGCCCGCTGCTCTGAGCGCTTACACGCACGGCTGATGGAACATCTGAGGACCGGAAGCCTGTAGGCTTAAACCCGCGCGAGCAGCATCATCCTCATCTTCATCCTCATCTTCATCCTCATCTTCATCCTCATCTTCAGTTTCAAGCAGCTGAGGAGTTTTGTTGATCGTTTTCTCAACGATGCATTAGTATAGAGATCAGCGGTAATTAGCTTTAAAATAAAGATATTAACGAGTAAAATATAGATTTTAAAAATATGACACACACATCTACTTAAAAATTCCATGTTTAATTCAATGTGTTTTATTATTATTATTATGTATTTTGTTTATTATTATATCATTATTTGAGAAGGTTTTGAGTGAAAACAGTTTCTATACCAATTTTTTTACAATTTTAAATAATTCTTTGTAAATGTGAAATTAACTAGTAATTTAAGTGTTTTTTCTGCACCTTTTACAAAATTTACTAGCGATTTTTGAGTGAAAATTCTTTCTACACCATTTTTTTCCAAATAGTTTT